CTTTCCTCTTTCCCACTACAGAGGAGATATTTATTCCCCATATCTTCCCCCAAAGCATAATAAGAATTGATAAGGAAGGGAATTGGATATGGCCAGTGGAAAGACTGAAGTTGTGGAGAAAGCCTCTAAGAGAAATTAAGTCAAGTTTTCAAGAGCTTGAGGACACTCTTCAACATGAAGGAGGATGGTGGGTAATAATTCAGTTTTTAGTTGGAATTGGATATGGCCAGTGGAAAGACTGAAGTTGTGGAGAAAGCCTCTAAGAGAAATTAAGTCAAGTTTTCAAGAGCTTGAGGACACTCTTCAACATGAAGGAGGATGGTGGGTAATAATTCAGTTTTTAGTTTCTATACATCAGGTAGTAACAGAATTGAGTTTTACATGAATATCACAAAACGGTTCAGAGGATTTGTTTCCAAAAAACCACTGGATAACCCGATAACTAGTGTGTTCCAGATAAGGGATGGGATATTCTAGAGTTCTCTAAAACATTCCATTCTTAGAAAGATAGAGTGCACGTATTTATTTGAACCTAATTTTCCAGGAACATATACTACATGTTGGCTATAAATGTTTTGCTCCTTTTTAAAAGATTAATCCAGAACACATCTAAGAATAGACTTCTGAATCTTATTGTGAATCTTGCCCATCTTATCTGAAGTGTTCCTCCATCCTCACACACCAAATTGACAACCCTTGTGCTCACACTCACCCATCTGAATCTTCAGAGCTTGAATTATCATGATTCTGTTCAGCCTTCCATCTTTTATGTCTGTCAATGAGATCTGTCAAGTAGGAAGTTTTCTTTGCATTTCGTATTATAAATTTGTGCTTCAGGAGTTCTTTGGCTGTTGGTCTCTTAAAAATAGAAAGTAAGTTTCTTTACTAAATTGAGTTCAGTTACTACATGGCTAAATATAATACAGTTCCAGAGGACAGATCAGCATCATTAGGCATGATATTTTAACCACAGACAGTGAGGATGCCCAAAATATTTCTAGTCAAACACTTCCGAGTCAAAACAGGTTATTTCAACAATTGAGAAGTATTGTGAACTTGAAGCAATGTTTAAAATTCAAAGTGGTTTGAATCTGAAACGTTTTGCACATCCCAGGTATATCACCTGTAAAATATGAGCCATCAATACAATATATGCACAAAATACAATGCATTTGGGACATAAAGAAACTTGGCCAAATCACGATTTGCCAAGTTACTTTATTCATTTTCCAGAAACATTTCGGGCACCGTGGGAGAAAGAATGAAGCAAGAAGCAACTTATAGGCTATAACCTCTCAGCCCATTAACATGGCTTTAGAAGAAAAGTACCGTATTTTTCCGACAATAAGACACCCCCATGTACAAGAGGCCCCCCACTTTTCCAGCCCAAAATTTAAAAATCAGTATTTTAAAGATAGTGCAGAACACA